AAATGGTTGACACTACAAATATCCATCTACTCAGAAGGAGGACACACCTGCCGCTCTCTGAGCCACATGCAACTCACGGTTCTCTTTAGACAACTAGGCAGTATTCAGAAAGGATAGGAAGTATATCAGAACCATCTCAGATGTATCAAGATCACCCCTAGTGCTCATAGGGAACCAAATGCATAGACTTGTGGCTGTGCTCCCATTACCCAACTTCACTACTATTGATGCCAGAATTGATGATGTCTGGAGGGTACACCTGTGCCCCAGACTTTCAAAAATTCCTAACTTTACATTTTCTGGATAAGAGATGCATCTTTTGCTAAAGTTCTGCTCATATCTGTCTTGAGTTTCATGATAAGTTTTTCATACAGCCTCTCTTCAATCTAAACTGAGCATCTAAACTGAGCATTCTCTGTGTTCCTATAGTGTCTTATCTACTTTATTAAATGTTTTATCTTTGCTGTTTATTGTGCTAGCTTAACCAGGACACTGAACTCATCAGAGACAGAAACCATGCATTCCTTATCTCAATGTTCCCCACACCCTGCTTGCAGCACAGAGAGTATGTGTTTTACTTGTTTGAGTGTTACAAACCCTTTCCAAAGGTGTGAGACCTGAGTGGTAGAGGTCCAGGAACAAATAATATTGGTAACTCTTAAGCTGTTAAGACAAAGTGCAACTCTGCTTGGGACTTCTAGAAGGGTGTTGGTATATCCCCAGGGTGTGACTCCCAACTCACGGGTCTTCTGGAAGTCCCACATGGGGATGCCGTGAGGCTGGGTCTGGGTATCCCCAGGAGCATTACCTACTGCCTACCCTCCTCAATGTTTGATGCTACACATTCTACTGTGCTCTGAGGGATCAGTCTTAGAAAAGACAGGCTTAATTTGCAGAGCCCTTCAAACACAAAGAGCGTGCAAAGAAAGGAAGAGGAAGAACAGAAGGATGAGAGAGAAGGACACAGAGAGGAAGGAGGCAGGGGTGAGTCCTGTTTATTATTCCTGCTCTGGGTCCAGCCTGGTGCCATGCCCATCCTCTAATCTGACTCTCAGTTTCCTCTGCCCTGAACATAAAGCAGCAATGGTGTTATTGTCTCATTTACTGTTGCATGTGGCTATTATTTGGATAAGGTAATGGATTTAAAGTTGCTTTCTAATTCAAAAATATGTGGAATCCACATTTTACCTTGAAGGTTTTGGTTACCATTACTGCTGGTACTTACCACGGGAAATCTGGAGAACTAAAAGACACAGTAAAAACAGTCTGAAAACAAAGACGCTGTTAATTAACAGGAAGCAGCTTCCTAGTGTTGACATGCAGGTGTTCTCCATGGAAGAACCTGGGTTCTGGAGCAGAGAACAAAGCCAGACAGAAGTGGAAACCAAGGCCCTGAAGTAAAGCTGGCTTAAAATCTGAGCTATTGGTGGGACTTCAGGCCACTTATTTTGGCCTAAGAAGCTCACCAGGTGAGGATAAAAATGGTGCCTGCTCCCTGGATAGTATGTGAAGTCCATTCTTCAATAAGCAGCGCTGCTTGTTTGAGTGTTCCGCTCCAGACACTGTTTTAAGTGTGAGTACCCAAGCACCCAACAGGAAAGGCAAGCAATGAAGAAACAGATACACACTGCGCATCAGGTAGTGAAATCATCAGGAAGGAAGTAAAGTAAGAGCAAGCACTCAGTCCTGTGGCTGCAGGTCAGGAATGGGACGGAGGGCTTGCCACCATGGCAGGCTCTTGAGAGTATTCGCCCCCTTATGAGGAAGCCACAGAAGCTGTCTTTTCCAGTGTCACTGAGATATCCAGAATCAACTCTCCACAGAGCAGACACACAAACAGGAAGAGTCACTACTGTATTTGAATCCAAGCAAATAAGGCCTCGTTCTCGATTCAGAGTGCTCAGGCTATTAGGGTAAGGTGGGCAGGCCTCCTGCAGATGTGAAGGACACGAGGCTGGCCTCATGTGCTAGCTGACTGCCCTGCTCAGCCCTTGGTGCCGCACATTCTATTCCACCCCCTCTGTTCCCCTGGGCCACAGCCTACCTCAACACCCATCTGTCTCACCCAGGGGATGTGCAAATCAGGTCATGAGTTGCCATCAGCTGGGTGGAGATGCAGGAATGACATCTGATGGTGAGATAGTCGGGCCAGTCTCTGTCTGGTGACCTAGTCCAGTCCCCCTTCTTGGCAAGCACTGGCTCTACTACTCCCTCCCCTTTATGTAGTGATACTTGTAGTTACCACCCAAACCTCTGTCCTGTTTACAGAATCTTTGGAAGATAGTCTCTGTGATCTTCGAGGAAGATTCAGAGACTTAAAACCCAGTCTATTTAGGCTACAAAGGCCCTGAGTAACTGTCTCCCCAGAAATCACTCATTTTACAGAAAAAGAAACTTGGGTCCAGGATGTGATTTATTCACTGTTACAAAAGGAATTCGTAGAAGAATTGGGATAAGAACAGAGGTAAAGAGGCTGGGAAGTGACCTTGCAGTGTTAAATGATGCATCTTCAGAATTTTACAAGGAATACCTTCTCTCGCCGCATTTCACTGCATAACAAAGAACTACAAATCACAGTAGTGCTTTCATCCAGCTAACAAACAGCAGGACTTTCCTGAAGACGTGGGTTGTAGAAAGTTTATGTTCTATTCCTTCTTGTGTCTCTATGGGAGCTGGAGACTTTACTCTCAAACTAAAAATAACTTCTTTGGATCGAGGATAACACATGTAATTCATGCACTTTCTGAAAGTATGCTACATTTCAGTGTAAAACAAAGGAGGTGGGAGAGAAGAAAGAGGTCTTAAAGTGGGATATAGGAATGCATATCCTTGTGATGTCAGAACCCAAAAAGCAGGGGCTGGAGAAATGCCAGTCTGCCAGAACTGCATATGGAAAACTTGCTAATAGCGAGGACTTAGTTAGAGAACTTGACTGGGTGCATAATGGGATATTAGAAGACAGCAGTAACAGGATACAGTTAGATGCACTGTCCTCAGTAACAATTATCATTTACTATATTCAGACAGTACACCCATGGAATTCAAAGGGAAAAATGGATGGATCTGGAAAGCATAATATTAAGTGAGGTGAGTCAAATACAGAAAAAGTATTTTCTCTCATATATGGATTATAGCCTGTACTGTATAGATGGATGGATAGATGGCTGAAGGGATTGATAGATTACTATTAATGTAAATGTGAGTAAAGCCTAAACACCAGAAAAGAGGGTACCAGAAACATAGGTCAGTGGTTAAAAGCACTTGCCATACTTAGAGAGGACCCAGATTTGATTCCCTGAAACCACTTAATAGTGGCTCACAACTATCCTTAACTCCAGTTCCAAAGAAGTTTTAAGAGAGTAAGTCAAATAGAAAAGAATACTGCTACCTCATGAAAGAAAGAGAAAAGAAGGGTTTGAGAGATGGCTCAAAAGGGTTTGCAGGGGACTTGGGTTCAGATTCTTGCATCCACATGGTAGCTCACAACTGTCTATAATTCCAGTTCCAGGAGATCTAATTCGTTCTTTTGGCTTCTGTGGGCACTATACACACATGTTGTATATAAGATCACCCAGGCACACATGCATACATTTAAATAAAAAAAACAGTAAGAAAAAGGAAACTACTAGAAGTATTGCTGATGCTAGTTACGTAACTGTTAAACAACCAACACAGAAAAGTATCACGTGCTTAACTGCAGAGTAAGCAGAACTCCATCTTCCTGTGTTGCAGGTACCATTTGATGGTGCATGAAGAACACAGGATCCTGGGAAAGGCTACTCCTGGCTCTGAGAGGGGGCATCCAGTGACCAGGATGCAAACTCAGTGGGGCTATATGGAGAGATGCCATATGGTTTAAGAAGCTTTGGGTTATAATTCATCAAATATATTGCCTCCTATATGCCAGGCCTGTGTGGTTCTTATGAATAGAAGTTACCTTTGGTGTGTTTTGTATGTATTTGCTAGTGTGTGTGTGTGTGTGTGTGTGTGTGTGCTCGCGCGTGCGCACACAGGTGAACAAGTTTGCTTGTGGACAGTTTGGAAGCCAGAATCCAGCCTCGGATGTCCCTTGGGAGTGCCATAAGCCTTGACTGTTGTTATTGTTTGTTTCTTGGGTTTGTTTGTTTGTTGTTTGGAAAAGGTCTCTCACTTACTGGTCTGGGACTCAATGAGTAGACTAAGCTGACCTCTCCATTGCTAGATTACCATGCAGCATTCATGCCAACATGCCGAACTATTTTTATGTGGGTTCTGGGGCTTGATCTCCTTTTGTATTTGCATGTCACCAACTGAGCTATCACTCCAGGAACCGCCACCATTCGTGTATTTTTCAGGCGTGCATTTTAGAGCCTTTGGCCATAAAAGTCATTCAAAATTGTTTGTAACTGAGTGCTAATGACAATGAGAACCTGGTCTCGGGACTAGGATGCTTGTCACACAGAGTTCTTCTTCCTCTTGGAGATCTTTCTTACTGTCAGGGCTGACCTGAACACTGTCTACCCACTTTAGGGGAGTCCTCGCCTACAGCTTCAAGCCTATACCCAGGGTTATCAAGAAGAAACACCTAATAAATGAGAAAATGTTAATGCACAAAGCCCACCAGTATCAAACCACTTTCATAGTAGTAGTACCATCCTATGATGCTCCTGAGATATGATTATAAAAGCTCTACAGCATCCGAAGAGAAACTCAAAAGTTCTATAACAACAGCTACCACTAAAGTTACACCCCGCAGATTAACCAGAAGAAAGGAAAAAAAGCAGACCTCAAATCCAGAGTCTATAGACTCACTACCTAACTCCTCCAATGAAGCTGTTTACAAAGTTCTGGAATGTGTTTGGGTCCCAGACTGAGAGTTCACCAGCTTAATTTACTTGTGTTATCCTTTTAGAGCCCTCATCCTGTAGCTGAAAACCAAGAGCAAGGAGGAACACGAGAAACATGTTCCTCTAAAGAGAAACATGAATACCAAGCAAAGAAGTCAACAGGAGCCACTGTGCTTGCCTTTGAAGCTTTATTCTTGCCGCAGTCTGGGGTTATGCTAACTCTGGCAGGATGCCTTGATAAAGGGGCAAAGTAAGGAGGACCAGGGAAGCTGATAGAGGCTGGGTATGGGTGTGCTCAGAAGGTACAGCAAGAGGTAAATTTTGGAAGCAGAACTGTCCTTTTGTATTTAACAGCAGCAGTCATCCCCACTGTCACAGCATGCAGGACCTCGTGACCTCATGGGAATTATTCCCAGACAGCAACATCCAGTGCCACAGCCACAGCCACAGCCTCCGGAGACACAGCCTCCACAGCCTCCAGAGCCACAGCCTCCACAGCCTCCAGAACTGCAGCCTCCAGAACCACAGCACCCAGAACTCTCACAGCAGCCAGAAGATCCGGTGTTCCATCCTTGGGGCCGCTGGACCCAGCGTCTCAGAGGACTCACCCCAAAGGTCCGGGGAGCCAAACAACAGTAGCTCATGGAACAGGGAGCAGAGCATGGATCAGGGACACCACCCTGAGAACCTGAGCCACTTGAAGAAGCCTGAGTGTAGTAGGTCTGGGTAGGAGCTGCATACTGGACATAATAAGTCTGAGCCTGGCAGGGAGCTGGACATTTGACACAGGTCGTCTGGCATGGGGCTGGGCACTTCACACAGGTCGTCTGGCATGGGGCTGGGCATTTCACATATGTCTGGCAGGGAGCTGGGCATTTCACGTACGTTTTGGTCTGGCATGGAATTTGATACTTCACGTAAACTGGAGCAGGAACCGGAGCTGAGTATCTCACGATGGTTTGAGGCTGGTAAAGAGCAGGTCCTGGAGCATAAACAGTTTGGACTGGGCCTGAAACCTGGCCTGAAACCTGGCCTGAAACCTGGCCTGAAACCTGACCTGAAGCTTGGCCGAAAACCTGGCCGGACACCTGGCCTTTCCCCAAGGCACCATTGCTACCTTGCCCAGCTCCAAGTCCCGAACCCTTCACACAAGATGGAAGGAACTGCTGCTGCTTCTGCTGGTCACACATCCTGCTATGGTTCTGAAAATTCTGAAAAGAAAAAATTCATCAAAACTTTAAGACTAGAGGATTTCCAGAAAAATCTTCGGTGCATCCAACTGGGAGGGTGATCTGAAAACAGGTTTCTTTGAGGGGGTTAGCACCCAGAGCTGTCCATCCAGCTGTAAGGTGAGTGCAGAGTCAGGGATTCTGGGCTCACTTCTTGCAACTTTAACTGACTGTGTGACTTCCGACCAGTCACCATTCACCCCTAAGACTGTTTCCACACCAGGAAATAGAGGGATTGAAACAGCAACTATATATCTACCAAACTTTATATGTTTCCCCTCTTTTCTTCTGTTTCTGCATTGTGGATCAGCCTTGCTTTACTCTTCAGTTAGCCCTCCATCACTGCTTCCCTTCGTGGTGGTATTCCTTCTAATCCAGGAAGTCCTCAGGGAGGTCAGATGTATGTGCCTGAGTTAATCTGACTCTTAAACTGACCCGACAGAGCAAAACTCAGGCTCAATACATAATAAGTCTCTACCATTTGCCATTGGAGCTCTTGTGTTCACTGTGTTAGTAAGTAGATCTCAGAAGAGATGGCACAAAAATCCCCAGAGGACCCGGTTCTCTGACATCTCTGCCCACATAGAACTGCTCTGTCCCCTCTCTAGACCACATCCCAGCTTCTGACCGCCAATGGCATCATCCTTCTTCATAGATGTCTTCAGTGTCTAGTCCCATCATTCCTTATCCCATAGTACTCCACCCCAACTCCACCTTGACTCTTATTTCTTGCCAAGTCGCTATCTCAGAAATAAGACTTACCTTCCTTCCTGGCAGGAGCAACACTGGAAGAAGCCAAGGCTCTGAGGAACTGGTCTTTGGTGAGACTTTTTATAGGGTGGCAATGAAGCAATTTGATGCCATTTAAATGAAGCACCTTAGATCACGAGGCCAAGGGCTGGTGTTGCATTGGTGAGATTCCTCCCCAGTACGTCTAGCTGTTCAGTCAGAGGCAGAACATGTCTCTACTTGACATTGAATTTTCCTAAATATGAGATAAATGGTCACCTTCTTCATGAAACAAGTCTCTTTCTTTTCCTAGAAGCCACTTACCCTAATGGTAGAGTCGTTCAGTTGAGACTCTCAGTATTCATACACTGGGCCAAAAGTTACTCTGTGTCCTTCCTACCTGACATTTACATTCCTTCTTGGGACTTTGGTGGTGGTTTCTTCTGGTCTACGTTGTCAAGGAAAGACTTTGCCATGGTAGTCTCTGGCTCAGTATATCAGGAATGTCACCAAGAACTTATTTATTCCATGAATCATAGATTATTCTAAGTTAATTTGGGAACTGGATGGGTGCTGTCTGATCTCAAACCCCAGGGTTTAGGTCTCCATTGGCACATCTCAGCTTCTCCTATTCCCATGGCCTTCCTTCAACTTATCTTCCTAATCCTCACTTTCAGGAATAGATTCCAGGAATAGATTCCTAGGATTGGAGGAATTCCAACCAAATGAATGTGAGTGATGACAATGATAAACTCTATCATTTAGTTAAATGTCTTTATGTGCCAAAAAGTTTATGAGGCACATGCATGCAACAGGGGGGGTTATGAAGCATCCAAAAGGAGCAAAAGGGCAAGCCAGAATTCAAGTGCAACCAGTCTGCTGTCATAGACATGATCTTTATCACTATCAGATAGTGTCTTTAATGACTGAATTGAACACCAGCCACATTTCCTTTCCTCAATACAGTAGAGGTAGAAAGAAAGATAGGAATAATATATCTCAAGTACTACTGAATACTGCCCCAGTCTGTGTCTGTGGTTAGTCTTCATCATAACTCTGTGAGATAGGCTATGTACGAAAATAAGACTTAGAAGCCCAAGTATCTCACCATGATCACCATTATCTGTGGGTAACAGAGCACCATCAGAACACAGACCCATCCAACTCCATAGCCCACGGCCTTCTCACTGAGCCTTGAGGATGGTGGATGACATCTGCTACAGGAGGCTATGAAACCTAGACTTGGTTTCAAGTGCCAGTTCTTCAGATCACACATCCAAGGAGTCACAATGCCACTGTGGCCTCTCAGGTGGAAGGCAGTTTTAAACTGGCTTCAAATAGATCCCCAGTTCCCCAGGATCCATTCCCCAGAATCCGTAAACTCTCTTCTTGAAGAAAATCGAAGTGGCACTAGTTCCCTGGCATCCCACTCATGTCATACAAGGTCTGCTCCTGAACAATTTGGAGGAAACAAGAGGGGGAGATTCTGCCCCAGGTTTGGAAAGTGTTCTGGCTCTTCTCAGCTTCTCTTATTCCCATGTAGGTTTGTCACACTGTGTATGAGGACCACTGTCTGTCAGAGGGAAAGAAAAATGAAAGGGAATTTTGGTCCAGGCCATTATAGTCCCCAGTCATATCCTAGGCCTGATGTTTCATGGAAAGGAGAAAGAAATTATGTCTTAGGCGGGTGGGGGGGTGTCAAACTCATCACATAAATGCTTGCCAGTTTAGTCTTTGCAATAATTGCTCAAACAAAAGAGGACAGGAATTGACAACTGTGAAAAGTCACTTAGTCAAAAACTAATAGAGCTGTCATTTAAAACCAGGCGTGAAATACCTCAGAGCCTATTATTTCTCCTCAACATGCTGCTTCTGGTTGGCAGCCCTTTACATTGTGCATAGTGCCAGAGTCCAGCTCCAGCGGGGTTCTGGAAAGGTGTGGAGTTGGTGAGAATAAAGACATTGACCACCAGTTGTCGTTCAAGCAAGTGGCGCCGAATAGCTCATGCCATCTTTATTTATACTAACATATCCAAGCACAAGCAGTGTGAATTCAGTTTTCTCTAATTCTTAAAAAAGAATCATGACATTTACCCATTTTAGATTATTTTCCTCTTCCCTGCTCCCTTTTTGTCATTTGTTAACCTTTACCCCATATCCAAGTATGAATTAACCTTTACCTAGGCATAAACTGAACTTTACCTCATATCTAAGCCTGAATTTTATATTGCAAGCCAGATGACAATATCTAGCCAGGCACATACTATTAGTAGTGTGTCCAGGCTCGCAGCAGACATGTCGTTACAAAAATGAAAGATAGTCAAGCCCTATAGTTAGTCTTTAACGGTGTGGTGCTTTTAAATTTTTGCAGTCAACAGGGGATATGATACCATACCTAGAATATTTTCCAAGTGTAGATCTTAATAATTTCTAAATGGTCTACATATCACATTTATGTGAGTAGCAGTTTTATGATATGATCCTGTTCTTTCTTACACATTCCCAGAGTGGTAATGATTGATGCCTAACTCATAACTGTTGGGACCAAGGTTCTATTCTTCCCGGCAGTTTCTACATGTCCTTTTGCTTCCAAGGGAACAGGAAGTTATAACCGAAAAAAGATAAATAACCATTCATGTCCTGGCACCAGATAGATGTCTGACCTTTAATGCCCTTTATCTTTTCCTTATACGTTCCCATAAGTTTTTGGTATCATCTCTTAAGAAACTATATCCTAAATTCCTGGAATGTAGTTACTTCTCTACAGTTAGGTAAGCAAGAATCATTAACCTTAGTGGTTTCCCCCTGCTTGCACAGAGTGACTGCAAAGACAGTCAGAGTTACTTGGGGGAACCAGTTTCTGTGTCCCAAGAAAAAAATCTGGGTTCATTATCAATAAACTGCAAAGAGGGCTTAATTTCCCCATAGAAACTTTAGAAAAATTAACAAAGACTCATCCAAGGGGCTCTTTTTCCCAGTAAATTCAGCTACAATCATGACTGACAAAGCAAAACTAAAAATTACCATAAGAGTAAACACAGAGAAAGCCAGGAGGGCCTGAAGCATAAGCTGGGGTCCCCAATATGGGTTTTTACAGGTTCTTGCCAAGTGGGTGGTAATCTCCAAAGGCCATGCCAAGAGGAGTTCCATTTGCAAAACACTCATGTGCTATTCTGGAGATTACAGCATGGCTTTGACCAATGTAGCACTATTCACAGCAATAATGTAACTTAGAAGGCCACTGGTTTCAGAACATGGCCACAAAAAACAGGACAGAAGGTTTTCAGGACATAAATGAAGAGAACTGACCTCTTGTCCTACAATTCTTCAGCACCTCTGACTTTTCTATGATTATAATGGTTTGTTCTACTTACAAAATGTATGTTTCCATAGCCTAGCTGTCCATGGAGTTATTGGCACTAGTTTGTAATTCTTAGGAGTTGGTAAGTATGGTTGATCACCATATCTCATCTTAGGACCTGGGAAATATTAACCAAACAAGTGAAATGAATAGTGAATGAGTGGGTATTTGTTACAATAAGGGCACAGACCAGATTTTAATTTTCTCCTGTGGTTAAAGTAATCATGCTCAGCCGTTAGCCAATCTGTGTGTCTCATGCCAGCTGTGAGCTCTGATTGGCTCACTTCCTGCTCCGTGGGGTGAGGTTCTCACTAATGGTTTTGACATCTTCAAGTAACACTAACATCACTGGTGAGAGATACTACATCCATGTGCCTCACAGACAGGTGGGTGAGCTGTATTCCACCCACTTTGTAGGCTGGAAGGCAGAACTGGAAGAGTCAGAAGATAGGTACCAGTGTCAAGATGAGTCATGAGTATATCCCAAAAAGATATCCAGAGACTCCGCCCGTTTATCCCTTTGGCAGCTCCTAGGATCTGATCGTGGACTTGTGGGTTTTCACACTAACAGTCCAGTGAACTCACATGAGAGTAAGTACATAGAATCATCTCTGAGATGGAGGGACCTGAAACAGGTCATTGGATCTGTTCTATGTAGAAAGTCCTAGTGGGTTTTAAAAGCTCTTTGGAATCGCTTGGTCAGCATGATTCATAATTTCCCAGCTGAATAGTCGGGAGCTACATATTAGATTATCAATTCATCTCCTTATAGCACTAGCATCTATGAATCCTCACCATCCAGACAGTAATCTTGAGACTGGAGCAGATGGACAGCATCGGGAATAGGACGATTCTTTCCATTTGCATTAATTGCACCTCAGAAAGGGACTGACACACCAACCTCTGGCCACGGCACCCCTTGACATTCACCCTTTCTCACCCAATACATTGCTCTGGAAACTGTAGCGCCAGAGTTTCAAATACTGTTTCATAAGCTATTCATACCATAACTGCTGGTGAGGGCATATTCTGAACCATCACAGCTACTTAGTAAGTTCTCAGGCTACAGAACAGTGTGACTGTGGCTGTCCTGTCCCTGATGGCTCTAGATCTCCAAGTTAGCCTAAGACTGCTTTTGCTCCTTCATCCCTTCCAAATGTTTCATAATAAACCCACTGTGCTGAACCTTTCTGTCTCAAATAGAGTGGTCTGGTCACATGGCAAGACACTGACATCCTGAAGCACCTCTGTTAAATAGGTAATATAACGCATACTCTGTCCAGGAAAAAGATAGACACATTTGACAAGTGAAGGAAATAAATATGTAATTTCAGCTGGTGGCAAGTGGAGGGGCAGCAATAAGTCAGGTTTATTCTGTGACTTTCTAGGAAAAGCCAGAGGAGCCGCTCAGATCCTTATCTCAGTTCCCACCTTCCCTAAGTGAATTCTTTTCAGGTTCCTGCATGACTACAAAGCAAAGGCAGGTCTGCAAGTTCAGATCTATCACAGCCAATGCTTCTGCCTTTAGAGAGCTGGTATGAGTTACTCCTGTCATTACCGTGACAAAATTCCTGATCAAAGCAAGGTATGGAAGCAAAGGTTGGCTAATGTTGTCCACTGTAATGGGGAAGGCGTGGCAGCAGGAGCATGAGGCAACTGGTCACATTGTGTCTGCAGTGAGCAAACAGAGAGAAATGAATGC